TGGTTTTGTTTATATATGTTTGCTGAAAATTGTTGCACGAGCAGCTTAATACGTTAATTACAAGAATTATAAAAATTAAAGGATTTATGACTTTTCCACTACTGATTTTTTAGCCATTTATTGATTGGGCTAAAGTCCACAGTGTCTACAGCTCTCAAAGTGGTATGGGGATCCCAGGAGGAAAGGGGGGAAGAACGAGAGAAGGGAGGGCCGGGGACAATTCTACACTTTTGGATCCAGGCTTGAAAATTAGCACGCAAGATAAAGTTCAATGCTGATTACTAGTATGAAAAGTTTTATTTTTGCTGTAGGCCGTTAGTATGAAGAAACAGGTCAAAATGCTCTTTAAATGTGATAAACACTTTGGAAATTATACTTCAACACTCTTGTTATGGATTTATGTATATTCCGCACTTGCTTCCACACATTAGTGCGACAAGGATGTGTCGACATGCTATTTAAAAAGAACAAACATCTCGCGCTTGATCCAGTACTTATTGATTGTATTGATTAATAATATGAGAAGTCCGTAGATCTGCTCGAAAAATCTGGTTGAGAAACTAAACCTTTTCGAATCGGCCGGGCGAAGTCGGTTATGCTAAATAATAATATAAAGTTGTTCAGCAACCAACTAATTTCGACAAAAATTTAAAATTTAGAAGGAAACCGTTCAATCAATCCGTCTATCGCCTCGTTGAGTATCTTTATTGAGCGCGTTGGTATTTAATCCGTAGTGGACACTAATAGTTTTCAATGAATTTTCCAAAGTAAAATGCTAAAGGCAGTTTTTGAATGTGCATGTGTTTCTCACTCATAGCTGTAAATGTTAGATTACCGTGGTCTCATCGGAACGTTTGTGAAACTGCAAACTCAACCTGTTCACTTTTTTGTTGAACTTTGCCAGTTAATCAACAATAGAATTGCTCAAATTGGAAGCGGAAATGAGCATAACCTCTTCAAGAGTTACTTCACAGTTTTTCTAGATATTCGTGTGTATTCGAACTCTTTCTCGTAATATTTGTCATTCAAGCAGCACTATCAACAATAACCAGGCACCGCTTCTCGCCAAATCATTAATAAGGTTTATGGAACGGGGATTTTTTGGTGTTGCAATTCAAAATTCGCTTAAATTAGAATTTCTGCTGAGTATTGCATTGATTTGAGAATTATTCTATGTTCCCATAATCCTCTTTTTAGGCACGCTCTTGGCAACGTTCTCGGTGCCCTTGGAAGCAAAGAATCGTTAAAAATTGCTCGTGAAATACTTTTTGAACAGGGCCCCAACTTTATTGATGATTACTTATTTGGAGCTGCTCAAGCTATCACATATGATGAAAAATGGCATAAGCAAATGATGGTGAGTAACGTTTAGTGCGTAAATGGTCCTGTCCCCTTAATCAGATTATTTGTAATAAGTTGCTTTTGTTGATACATCAAAACAGTAAAGCTAGGGCAACATTTAGTTAAATTATCTGTTTATATTTTGGGGTATTCAAGAGTGAAGAAGGAAAGTATCTGTGCAAAGAAATAAGAACACTTGGATAAGGAAGAAAAACAATGAACTCCTAAAGGAAAGCTCAAGTAACCAATTGCAGCAAGAATTTTCAATAATGGAGGCAGTAAAATCTCGTATCTCCAGTT